AGAGAGAGAGAGAGAGAGAGAGAGAGAGACTTAAGTATCAAAAGTAAAAAGTAAAAATAATTTCAAATTCCTTATAGTATCCCTTCCATGCAATCAAATGACCTAGTGGCCTCATGGGTGGAATGTTATTAATATTTTTCATAATTTCATAATTAATAAACATTTTTTAAAAAGAAACGCCGAAAACCCTGTGTTTTCCATGTCACAGTTTTATTTTATTTCAGTCTTCTGTGATGTATATAAAGCGTAATATTTGGATGGAAACTCAAAATTGAATACATTTCAACTCTATATCTGACATGATATTTTTGTTATAAAGTAGATTTGTTTAAGACTACCAAGAAACACTCTGATTTAGCACACTGAAGTAAAAGGTTATTAAGCAATACAGACGGCACCATTTTCTTTTTTTTCTTTTTATTTAAAGATAGCCAGGGGCACACTCCAACATTCAGACATAATTTACAAACGAAGCATGTGTGCTTAGTCAATCTGTCTGATCAGAGGCAGTAGGGATGACCAGGGATGTTATCTTGGTACTGTACAGTGCATTCGGAAGGTATTCAGACCCTTTCCCTTTTCCCACATTGTTAAGTAACAGCCTTATTCTAAAATGGATTAAATTAATGGATTTCCTCATCAATCTACACACAATACCCCATAATGACAAAACGAAGACAGGTTTTTATAAATGTTTGCACATAAAAAAAACATAACTTATTTACGTAAATATTCAGACCCTTTGCTATGAGACTCAAAATTGAGCTCAGGTGCATTCTGTTTCCATTGATCATCCTTGAGATGTTTCTACAACTTGATTGGAGTCCACTTGTGGTAAATTCAATTGATTGGACATAATTTGGAAAGGCACACATCTTTATAAGGTCCAACAGTTGATAGTGCATGTCAGAGCAAAAACCAAGCCATGAGGTCGAAGACAGGATTGTGTCGAGGCACAGATCTGGGGAAGGGTACCAAAAAAATTCTGCAGCATTGAAGGTCCCCAAGAACACAGTGGCCTCCATCATTCTTAAATGGAAGAAGTTTGGAACCACCAAGACACTTCCTCGAGCTGGCTGCGCGGCCAAACTGAGCAATCGGGGGAAAAGGGCCTTGGTCAGGGAGGTGACCAAGAACCCGATGGTCACTCTGACAGAGCTCCAGAGTTCCTCTTTGGAGATGGGAGAACCTTCAAGAAGGACAACCATCTTTGCAGGACTCCACCAATCAGGCCTTTATGGTAGATTGGCCAGACGGAAGCCACTCCTCAGTAAAAGGCCCGCTTGGAGTTTGCCAAAAGGCACCAAAGGACTCTCAGACCATGAGAAACAAGATTCTCTGGTCTGATGAAACCAAGATTGAACACTTTGGCCTGAATGCCAAGCGTCACGTCTGGAGGAAACCTGGCACTATCCCTATGGTGTAGTATGGTGGTGGCAGAGTCATGCTGTGGGGATGTTTTTCAGCAGCAGGGACTGGGAGACCAGTCAAAATTGAGGGAAAGATGAACAGAGCAAAGTACAGAGAGATCCTTGATGAAAACCTGTTCCAGAGCGCTCAGGACCTCAGACCGGGGCAAAGGTTCACCTTCCAACAGGACAACCACCCTAAGCACACAGCCAAGACAATGCAGGAGTGGCTTCAGGGCAAGTCTCTGAATGTCCTTGAGTGGCCCAGCCAGAGCCCGGACTTGAAACCGATCGAACATCTCTGGAGGGACCTGAAAAAAGCTGTGCAGCGACGCTCCCCATCCAACCTGACAGAACATGAGAGGATCTGCAGAGAAGAATGGGAGAAACTCCCAAAATGAAGGTGTGCCAAGCTTGTAGCGTCATACCGAAGAAGACTGGAGGCTGTAATCGCTGCCAAAGGTGCTTCAACATAGTACTGAGTAAAGGGTCTGAATACTTATGTAAATGTGATACTTCAGTTTTGTATTTTTTATAAATTTGCAAACAGTTCTAAAAACCAGTTTTTGCTTTGTCATTTTGGGATATTGTTGGTAGATTGATGAGGGGAAAAAACAATTTAATCAATTTTAGAATAAGGCTGTAACGTAACAAAATGTGGAAAAAGTCAAGGGGTAGGAGTACTTTCCGAATCACTGCAGGTGTGTGAATTGGACCATTTTCCTGTCCTGCTAAGCATTCAAAATGTAACGAGAACTTTTGGGTGTCAAGGAAAACATATGGAGTAAAAAGTACATTATTATCATTAGTAATGTAGTGAAGTAAAAGTTGTTAAAAATATTAATGGTAAAGTGAAGTACAGATACCCCCAAAACACAACTTAAGTAGTACTTAAAAGTATTTTTACTTAAGTACTTTACACCACTGGGAGCTATTGCTCTGTTTTCCTTACCAGGGTTTGCCAAAGTCGGTCCCGGGGCCCCCCTGGGTGCACGTTTTGTTTTTTGCCCTAGCACTACACAGCTGAAAAAACTAAAACGTGCACCCAGGGGAAACCCTTTGCCTTACAACCCTTCTCCTTACTTTTTTCCCTTCACAAACCATGGCCTCTGAGGACGAGACCAAAGCAAATGCATCATTGGCGGCAGGGGGATCCAATCATACAATTTTGAATTGAATAGTTCTGTATAGTATAAAGCCACATAAAGCCAGTAGCTACGGTGGGAAAATTATTTTCAATCCATCAAATTCATCATAGTATATTATTGAGGGGGTGAAATTGGCCTGCCTCTAATATTAGGAGTGTCATGATCCCCCTGTCCTCCCTGCAACTTATGCGCCTGCCTGAGACTAGGAGGCAAAGGCTTCATCCCAATTAGACGGGACTGTATGGAGCATGGCCAGTGATGATTATCTTTAATTTGTTCATGGAGCCAAATTATTTCAACCTCTGTCACCTTTGTCTTCTCAGTGTATATACAGTATGTGCAAGTCAGAGAGGAGAGAAATAAATGATGGATACAGTGGGGGAAAAAAGTATTTAGTCAGCCACCAATTGTGCAAGTTCTCCCACTTAAAAAGATGAGAGAGGCCTGTCATTTTCATCATAGGTACACGTCAACTATGACAGACAAAATTATTTTAAAAAATCCAGAAAATCACATTGTAGGATTTTCAATGATTTTATTTGCAAATTATTGTGGAAAATAAGTATTTGGTCAATAACAAAAGTTTCTCAATACGTTGTTATATACCCTTTGTTGGCAATGACACAGGTCAAAAGTTTTCTGTAAGTCTTCACAAGGTTTTCACACACTGTTGCTGGTATTTTGGCCCATTCCTCCATGCAGATCTCCTCTAGAGCAGTGATGTTTTGGGGCTGTCGCTGGGCAACACGGACTTTCAACTCCCTCCAAAGATTTTCTATGGGGTTGAGATCTGGAGACTGGCTAGGCCACTCCAGGACCTTGAAATGCTTCTTACGAAGCCACTCCTTCGTTGCCCGGGCGGTGTGTTTGGGATCATTGTCATGCTGAAAGACCCAGCCACGTTTCATCTTCAATGCCCTTGCTGATGGAAGGAGGTTTTCACTCAAAATCTCACGATACGTGGCCCCATTCATTCTTTCCTTTACACGGATCAGTCGTCCTGGTCCCTTTGCAGAAAAACAGCCCCAAAGCATGATGTTTCCACCCCCATGCTTCACAGTAGGTATGGTGTTCTTTGGATGCAACTCAGCATTATTTGTCCTCCAAACACGACGAGTTGAGTTTTTACCAAAAAGTTATATTTTGGTTTCATCTGACCATATGACATTCTCCCAATCCTCTTCTGGATCATCCAAATGCACTCTAGCAAACTTCAGACGGGCCTGGATATGTACTGGCTTAAGCAGGGGGACACATCTGGCACTGCACGATTTGAGTCCCTGGCGGCGTAGTGTGTTACTGATGGTAGGCTTTGTTACTTTGGTCCCAGCTCTCTGCAGGTCATTCACTAGGTCTCCCCGTGTGGTTCTGGGATTTTTGCTCACCGTTCTTGTGATCATTTTGACCCCACGGGGTGAGATCTTGCGTGGAGCCCCAGATCGAGGGAGATTATCAGTGGTCTTGTATGTCTTCCATTTCCTAATAATTGCTCCCACAGTTGATTTCTTCAAACCAAGCTGCTTACCTATTGCAGATTCAGTCTTCCCAGCCTGGTGCAGGTCTACAATTTTGTTTCTGTTGTCCTTTGACAGCTCTTTGGTCTTGGCCATAGTGGAGTTTGGAGTGTGACTGTTTGAGGTTGTGGACAGGTGTCTTTTATACTGATAACAAGTTCAAACAGGTGCCATTAATACAGGTAACGAGTGGAGGACAGAGGAGCCTCTTAAAGAAGAAGTTACAGGTCTGTGAGAGCCAGAAATTTTGCTTGTTTGTAGGTGACCAAATACTTATTTTCCACCATAATTTGCAAATAAATTCATAAAAAAAAAACCCGATCAGAAATTGGGGGGGGGAAATTTTTTCTCAAGCAGGGGACACATTTCAGCAACTTTGGCCCCCGGCGGGTAGGGTTTTTGGGGGGAAGGTTGTTTTTGGGTTAGGTATTATATTTCCCCCGGGGTTTTTGGGTTTTTCTAGTTTTTTACTTTTCCCCCGGGGGAGTTTGGGGGGCCCCTTCAGGGGTTCAGGGTTGTTTCCCCCCCTTTTCCCCCCCTTTTTTTTTTTTTTTAAAAACCAACTTGCCCAGGAAATTCGCCCCCCAACCTTCTTACTTTTTTTTCCCCTTTTTTTCGGGCCAAAAGGATTTGGGGGGTTTTTGGGGAAAAAAATTTTTTAAAAAAAAAGGGGCCCTTTTTAAAGTAGATGGGGAAAACCTCAAAAAAATTAATTGGGCCAAAAATTTTTCTTGTTTTAGGTAAATCTTTTTTCCCCAATTTTAAAAAAAAATCCCAATTACGGTTTTTTTTTCTAAATTTGCGTTTTGTTAGGAACAAATTCATATATCATATTGAATGTAAAGGAAACCGAACCCTGGATCTGATAATTTCTGTCCTTTATGATCTGGTAATAAAAATGAATAAAACCTCATATCATTATGTTTCATATAGTTACAATTTTATTCAAATCATTTCCTGTCACATAAGGAATTCTGGGAGAAAAAAACCCCAACATAAATATATACATAAATCTCACAATCTAAGTCGAACAGTTGCACAGTAGAAACATTTCAATAACATTTCAATAACAAAACCACATTGCTAATAAATACATAAATAAATAGACAAATGAAATCTGGATAATACAAGACTATAACAGCTTCTCCATCAGTGATTGTGCAAAGCAGTCCTTTTCCATCTCATTATTCTTTCTGCTCAAATGCCGTGAACAGGAACCTCTTGGTGTGTCCTTGACTTCAAGACACAGGTTCACCTTTTGCAAACCTCGATACCTCAATCTTCACATTGAGCGAGGCTATTTCCCATGCCACAGGACAAGATTTCCAGTCTTGATTCTGACTGACTTCTAGTTCAGTCCAGTATTCAACTTCAGTCCCCCCTCAATACTTCTGGCCAACCAGCACAGGACCTCTCCTCCACTGAGGAGGACCCTAGTGAGACCACCTGGTTTCCAGTGTGTGCTTTTCAGCTTGTCTCCTATGGACTTCTTCTTTGTGTTCCATTTGCCACTTGCAGTGGGCCTTAACCAACCATAACCAGCCTCAACCAGCATTAACTAGTCTTAACCAGCCTTAACTGGTATTAACCGGCTTTGACCTGCCGACTGATCTCCAGGTAGGTGGTGGACTTGAGGAAGCGAGGGTAGCAGTCTTTCTCCATTAGGGCGTAGATCTTCTCCTGGGCCAGGCTGAAACAGGACTGGCTGGGGCGCTCCAGGTTCTTCTTGGTGATGGCTTTGGTCTCATGGTCGAGGTTGACCTGGGTAAAGAGGGCAATTTGATTAATATGTGTTTTAATTAAACAAAGTGTTATTGAGTATTGTTCATGTACAATTAGTAAATTGTGTGTGTGTGTATGTGTGTGTGTGTGTGTGTGTGTGTGTGTGTGTGTGTGTGTGTGTGTGTGTGTGTGTGTGTGTGTGTGTGTGTGTGTGTGTGTGTGTGTGTGTGTGTGTGTGTGGGCGCATATGTTTATGCAGGGTACATCCAATCCATGTATTCAAACATAATCTGTAGTTAGAATAATTTATTCATTATATTTATACTGTATATTGATATTTACCTCTCTTGGTGCGTCACTGCAGACAAACTCCTCATAGATCTTCTTAGCCTTAGCGGATAGCTTTGAGGAGGGCTTGGTTATCCTGTAGTCTTCACAGGCCAGGTAGAAAGCTATGTTCTCCTCGCTAAACTCTGACACCAGGAAAGCTCTGAACAAGCACAGTCCATCTGGAAAAGAAAATATGAAATTCACTTTCAATTGTGTCCATTTTTGATATTTGGAAAAAGCTGGATTTCCTATAGTGTTTAAGTATGAAATAATGTATTTTAATTTTATATTATGAGTGCATCCTGCTACTGCTCTTTAGGCCATTTATTCTGGCTATATGGGGAATCCACTTTTGCAATACACAATATGTACTTCTGAGCTTGTATAGTATGACCAATTAAGTATGCTACAGATGCAGGATCTTAATTTGACCAGTTTCTCACAGCAGGAAAATAATCCTGCAGCAGCAGGAGATGTGAATTAATGGAAGGGGTTGATACACGTTTAGTTAGGCCAAATCAAGTCTGACATTTTAAAGCGGAAATTACAAACTTTATAAAAAAAATAATAATAATCCTGCAACGACAGGGTGATCAAATTAAGATCCTACATCCGTATATCATTTGAAGTAAGATAAGTGATCAGTATGATAACCCATATCAATAATCAGACTTACGTTGGTTGGACAGCAAGTTCTCAAACGACTGCCTCCATTTTAAGGGCTCGTCCATATTTAACCTGTTGATAAAAAGTGTCAGGTTAGTTCACCCAGTCATTAAAATATATGTTAGCATTTATTTAACATAGTATCCTAAAGTATTTTTAATTTCAGATGCAACATTTTATCACAATTCAATTTAGATCAAGTTTAAAAATCTATAAAGAAATTGAATATTCTTAGCTAGAATATCTTACCTTAATTTGTTAGTCTTGTGTGAGTGATCGATGATGCTCAGATCTGGCTTCTGTAGAAAGCTTCTAAAGAGAGCTTTGAGTTCCTTTGCCCTGTGAAAACAGAGAAACCATTTACATTTAAATTGATGCAATCATTCACATCTTACTTACAACTGATCATCCAATTTCCCCATGAAGTAGCTTAATAATAATTCCCATCAATGTAAATCCAAAATGTAACCCAATTCCAGTGACATATAATGAGATGGAAGAAATAGTAGAGATATATGACAAAACGTACCTCTCCAGACATGTGATAGGCAGTGATTCCAGTTCTCGGCACATGGTGGGAGATGATGAGATATGATCCTTTGTGCTACCTTGCTGTATTTCTGTAGTGTTCCGGAGCGTTTGAGTCTATGATAGCTCTAACACTGCAGTGAAACTAGTCCTCAGTGTGGTCTACTGGCTGTGTGTGAAGAGTGCGATTTTATAAGGCAGCCCCCTCTGTGACATTACGTCTCTTAGCCAATGGCGTGAGGGCCGTGGGAGGAGAAAGATTCTCCCTAATTTCATATTTTTTTAAGATACTTTTTTTTGGGGGGGGGGTTTGACCATCATGTGTCTGATTTAGAAAGAAGGAAGGAAATATACGCAAGCATATTATATTAATAATATAATGTTAATTGCAAATCCACACTGTCATTTATTTAAATATGTATTACATTGATTGAGTTTATTTCCAGCACTCAAGCAAAACACATCTGTTTGGAGTTGTAATTAGAACACTTTTGCCACTGCAATAAATAATTGTTTTGATACTGAAAATAATATAACACTTCGGGCCAGTTTCCGAGACCCATATTAAGCCTAGTCCTGGAATAAAAAGCACGCTCAATAGAGAATCTCCATTGAAAGCACTTTTTAGTCTAGGTTAAATGTCTGGATGTCCGGGAAACCATCCCAAAATGTTATAGTAATTTCAGTATCATAACAATACATCAAAGAGGACAGCTATTTCTCACAGTGGTCCAAGTGACAAAAGCATAAAGCTTATTCTGAGAGGTGAAACACCCATGTCTATAATTAGTCTTCCATTTTGGGCTAGACGAGAAATCCATTGTCTACTCAGAAAGGGGTTTCTACTTTTAAACATGAGACAGAGCCAACACCAAAGACTATCTGATAAATCTCAATGAGTGTGAAATGGGAAAGGAAGGGAAGTAGGCGAAACAGGAAAAGGGGGTAGACTAGAAGATTCCTTGGAAGGACTGTAGTTCCTACACTGGCCAACTAATACAATGTGACTCATTCCCAGAAACTCTGCAACATTATTCACAATGTCACACATGGTTTTGTTATTTACGGGTAAAAACTACAGATGTAGTGACTCGGCTTCCTTGTTACAGTAATAGGCAATTGGCTTACGCTTATACTCAGGAAACGGCGGTCTGCTTCTTCACAGATTATTCACGTGTGAGTCAGGCCATTTTTATGAATGTTCTATTGAGGACTGGCCAACTTTTCAAACTTGTTTATTCATTCTAAATTGAGGCTAATTAGGATTTTGTCTAAATTACACTACAGTGTCTTGGAAATACGATAAACATTGATTAAGTAGGCAAATAATGATTAGGAAACTACTTTGTCTCTGTATAGACTGTGGGACTACTGGGAACAATCAGATGGTGACGACATCAAAATGATGACAAAAGCTTTGCCTACTAATGATTTGCCTCCTTTAGAAATGTAATTGTTTTTTCCAAGCCACTATAATGCACTTCAGATGAAAGCTTCATCAGCGCCAATTGGGAATGCATTGAGTTGAACTTTCAGTCATAGAACTTTCACCAATGTAGTGACGCAACGTGAAACCCATGAATAGGTGAGGGACCAAAATACTTTTCTCATTATCGTCATCTATCTAAGACAGTGACTGGAGTAGGCTTTGCTGAATGAGGGAACCCACTGGGCACACACTGGTTGAATCAACGTTGTTTCCAACGTCATTTCAATGAAATGACGTTGAACCAACATGGAATAGATGTTGAATTGACGTCTGTGCCCAGTGGGAAACTTCAAAACTTCTGACGTTATGTAGTACCAAAGGATTCTCTGGAATGGGGCTCTGCTTATCTGGGTAGTCATTGTAGATTCTTGATATTCCAAAAAAGGAGAGGTGATAGCATCTCCCAAAAATGTGTCAAAGCTTGACTAAGTCCACAGGTCGTCAGCTTTTTAAAAATAGAAAGAGCACCATGAATTAAAGACCTTGTTGTTGCTGTCATTTAAGGGAGACGCTATCACCTTCCTTTATTGGAATATCAGGATTTTAAAAAAATGCATGCTTTAGACTGAGTGTATCCTTGCTTGGACTCCATACATTTATAACGTTTTTATTTTTGGTATTAAGATTCTGATTCATTTGTCCAATTGTACACGCTTTATCCCAACCCCTCTGAAAGACACACATACACATTGGAGAGGTTGGAGCAGGGGGCTGCCATACTAAAATGTCCGTGGAGAAGTTGTTGTGGGGGGTTAAGTGCCTTGCTCAAGGGGACAACAGCAGCCGATGGCATCTAGGATTTGATACCAGCAACCCTCTGGTTGTCAGCTCACTTCCTGCCAGATTCCTTGTAATGTCTAAGTTCACTAGGCCAGAAGAGTTGATGGCCTATTTTCCTGCTCTAGGGTCGATGTTTTTAAGGACATTCTGTACATCTTCTGGCTCTATGCCAACGGAAGCTTTAACATAGAGTAAACATGTTTTCCACAGCCTTAACCATCATGTGGTTGAATTACATAAGTCCTGACGGAATGAGCCAGATCTATTTTAATGCAAATTCTATTATTCTGACTTATTTGATGTTGTTGGCATTTAAGAGCATCAACGGCGACACATTCTCGTTAAATGTTTGTAATTTGATCAACATAACAGGCAGCTGCCGAAGCGTATGAAAACTGACTATACATAATACTTGAATTAGCACGGTTTTCTAGCTTCAAGACAAAAACAATTGCTGAACATCCTCACACCATGTCATGACTGTTTATGACTGTTTAGTGATCCAGTGGTAAAAAAAAAAAAAGTATCGCTCCATATACTTTCAATGCATTTTTCCACAAAGGTTATTACATTTTATGCCATGACAGTGTTATAAAGCCCCTCATGTGGGAGGGTTCAAGTAAAATGTTACCAGATTTAGGATAGTAGTGTGTCAGAGCAGATGATATGTTGGGTCCAAATTTGCATTCCCCTTAGTATTTGAGGGTCAGAATCTTACTCACTACTACTGTATTCAGCAAAGACACATTCATTTGGCAAAAAGGCTTACATTTATCTTGAACTCTTATCCTAAAGAGGGACTGAAATCCTTCCTCAAGATTATGGACTAGTGTGAGCTGTAGCAGCTAATTTACACTAGAATTAAGGCAATTAGGCCACTTACCATAGACAATGTTTGACAGAAAACAGTAGGCTATAGAAGTTCATAAAACAAATGATGGGTAGCTAGGGAAGGGTGAAGTCCTTGATATTGTATTGTAACCCAACACATAGCGATCTGGTCAAGAGGTTCAGACCTCTTCGGGTAATGGTTAAGGTGTTGGCTTGACAGTCGCTGGACCCGGGTTTGAGTCCCGGTCGGGGCTACCCCCAAATTCACTACATTGGTGTCAGAAGTGTGATGGCGGCCGTGGGGCCATCGGAGAGGCGTATCCATGTCAGGGACTTGGTATAGAGAAGTGTGGGGACACGCTCTACTGAAGGATGGAGGTAATGTAGCGACCTTAACCCAACACCTAGCAACCTCATCAAGAGGTTTGGACCTCTTGGTGTAATTGTTAAGGTGTTGGCTTGACAGTCGCTGGACCCGGGTTCAAGTCTAGGTCGGGGCTACAATAAGTCATACAAATATATAAAAGTGTGCCAGTAACCACTTTTTTATGCGAGTAAAGTTATGCAGTAAAATAAAATCACAACAGCTGTGATGGAAACAGGTAGTTTAGGTACAATTTTATGAATGCCGACAGATAATTTGTTCGTTCGACATGGTGGGATCTTTTTGTGTGATGGTGGTGGAAATGCCTTTATGCGCAAATATTGATATAATAACCATCATATTGAAGTAAACTTTGAGTCACGCAATGCTATGGAATGTGATCCTCCCACTATGACTCGGGAAACCATGCAGTTTATTAGATGAAATAAGTTATGATGAACATCTCAGGGTGGTGAAAGTGGATGGTGATCTTGATGCTCCTTTCCAATAAATATCGAGGGTCTTATTCTGGTGACATGATGATCGATGCTTTATTTGACAATAATAATCATCTTATCATGTAGACTAGCATGTCCACACAGCTTACCTATTTAATGCAACAGTTTTTGTGACAAAACTATCGGCAGAGTTAAAAATGCGATGGAAACACATTGAACTTCAGATTTCTATTTGGTACATGAAAACTTAAGGGGAAAAGTACATTTTGTGTGAACTACTGTACGTCATCACGCACTGACTTTTATCTGCAACAAGTCAGTTTGGTGGAAACACACTAAAATAACAGTCTTTGCTAAAATAACAGTCGGTTTTGGTTATTTTTATTTTATTTCAGATAACATTATTTACATGTCTAATGATGTTTTGATAAAAGGGAAAGAATTAAGTTCATATTTTTCTATGATTGTTACTTTTTCCAATAGTTACCCTAGTTGGTAATCCATGTATGTAAAATATGTTGGTAGTATCCCTGCCGGCCATTCCCTCCCCTACCCTGGACGACGCTGGGCCAATTGTGCGCCGCCCATGAATCTCCCGGTCGCGGCCGGCTACGAGGGATAAGGTTATTTTCAAGGTAACAAAATATGGTAAAACTTTACTTGACACCCAGTGTCATAACACTGGTCATAACCATCTCATAATATGTCATAACAGTTGACATAACTTGTCATAACTAGGGCTGTTACGGTGACCGTATTACTGCCACACCGGCGGTCACGAGTCATGAAGGCAGTCAAATTCCACGTGACCGTTTAGTCACAGTAATTAGGCTTCTCCAAGCTCTGATGCTGCTGATGGTCATTAGTAGGTGTCACACCCTGACCTAGAGAACTCTTGTTGGTTGGGTCAGGGTGTGAGTTCAGTTTGAGATCTATGTTATTGTATTTCTATGTTTGAGTCTAGTATTTGTATTTCTATGTTTGGCCGGGTGTGATTCCCAATCAGAGGCAGCTGTCGCTTGTTGTCTCTGATTGGGGATCATACTTAGGTAGCCTGGTTGCCTACCTTAGTTGTGGGATCTTGTTTGTGTTTCCTGTTAGGCTGGTTGTGTGTATAGCCCATAGGACTTCTCGTTTTCGTTGTTTTGGTTAGTTTGTCAAGTGTTTATTCAGATTAATAAACATGTACGCATATCACGCTGCACCTTGGTCTGACCCGTCTCTCAACGATCGTGACAGTAG